ATACACATACACATACACATACACATACACATACACATACACATACACATACACATACACATACACATACACATACACATACACATACACATACACACTCACACACACGAGAACCTTTTTCCCCGTGCTCCATTTCGACTGCTCCAGCGTATGTTTGCCTTTTGGAAGCCACTGATTCTTACTTGTAGTAGTGACTTCCCCAGTTTGCCGGAGGGGAATTTTCCAGTAGATCAGGTTCCAGATTCAGTTTTTATAAGAAATACCCAATCCTTGGAACCTGACTTTCGACCATGCCTGAAAAGCAGTGGCTATCAAGTGGAAAAACATGTTTAATGGAAGTTGTCGGTCAGCTGATGCGATTACTTAGAGGTTGAAGGGGTGTCGAACGGGGCGGATTGGTCGATATCAGGATGCTATAGCAATTCCAGGTAGTTCATCTTTTTCAGAATTCGCTGGAAACGTGATAGTCGTTGATGAGAGGCTCCCATACATATCGAGAATTGTTATAGACCCTAGACGTGGGGAGCAAAAAACGTTGGTCGTACGACTGACCTATTCGAATATAGTATTAATGTTGGGTTATTGAACGGACGAAGATGATGGAAGGAGGTTGTGGAAGCAGTGAACAGAGAAATCCAACTCTGTGTGTCGTTAACAGATGCGATCCATTCAAACTTATTCAGAAATCATGAATCGACTTAAACGCACAGTTCACGATAATTTTGGGGTATCCGGTTTTTGACGAAAAATGTTAGGCACGGTCTACAGTAGTACAACGGAAATGCAGAAAACGCGAAAGGCGATGAATAAAAAGAAACACGAAGCTTGAAAAAGAAGAGAAAAGAGGGGTTGGACGAGTTACACGGCAAAAAAACGGCAGTTAAAAGAATTTTCAGGCGACGTAAAGTCTGCAATTGCACACAACACGCTCAAATTGCTGATTTTGGCTTCTTCGTTAATATTATTGTTCTACTGCTGATATTAAGCGAGATTATTGTGCCTGTTCCTTTTGATGACGGCTGAGAATAATTAAATAGAACAGAATAGAGCAGAATATTAGTCGAATAGTAGGAATACAGCAAAGTACTATTACTTGTAGGAGACGGTCGATTAGCTTATTGATTTTTCACTAATGTTGCTCCAATGCGAAAGTGGTGAACGGCAAAAGGATTTCGTAATCAGCCTAGCGAGGGCGGAGGCTGACCGTGCTTCGCTCTCCAGCCCCCTATTGTGCCCTATCCAGAACGTTTTTCGACTTCATTCCGGCACATATGGTATCAAAGGGGGCCCCGAATTCATACCATGTGCAAATCTACGAAACCACTTTTATCGTGATCCGTGCCTTAATGTGTTTTTCCCTTTTTAACTGTTCTCCATTGTGCGTTGAAGTCATTGTTTACCTATTCAATCTTCATGCAAAATATACCTAGACTCTTTCTAGCATACTACGGCGTAGCGAATCAACCACCGCGAACCACGATCAATGAATACATAAGGCGGTCTCCCACTACCCCGCTATAGATTCTTGGTGATCGACAGCCATCAGTTATGCTGCCCTTCTACTTCCTTAAAGGCACAGTTNACGAAAAAATGGTTTCGGAGATTTGCACATGGTTGTATTCGATGCCTCCTCTGATACCAATTGTGCAGGAATGAGGTCGGAAAACGGTCTGGATAGGGCACAGTAAGGGGCCGGAGAGTGAGCCACGGTCGCCCTCCGCCCCTCGCTAGGCTGACTACGAAATCTAATTGCCGTTCACCACTTTCGCATTGGAGCGAAGTTGGTGAAAGGTCGATAAGCTGGTTCGCAAATGGCCAGAGACGGTCAGCTGGTCGACCGCCTCCTTCTGGTACAAGTATTCGGCTGTATTTCTACTATTCGACTTATGTTCTGCTCTATTCCATTCTAGTAAATTATTCTCAGCCGTCATCAAAAGGATCAGGCACAATAATCTCAAAATCTTAACACCGTCAGTAGAATAAATAATATTCAGGAAGAAGCCAAAATCAGCCGTTTGAGCGTGTTGTGTGCAATGGCAGACATTACGTCGCATTCGTCTACTCGCCTGAAAATTTCCTTAACCGCCGTTTTTCCATTATGAAACTCGTCCAACCCCTTTTTCTCTTTTTTTTTTGACCTCTATATTTCTATTATTTATATTTCTTTTTTTCGCTGTTTTTCGCGTTTTATGCTTTACCATTGGCCTAATGTAGGCCTTACCTGTCACTATCTGTGAAATACCGGATACCCCTAAATTATCGTGAACGGTGCCTTTAATCAAAGGTTAAATTCTGCTCACTACTTATATATTGAACAGGCAATCTTGTGAGGTTGAGAGGGATGAAGACCGGAATTTGCTCAATCCAACTGAACTTCTGCCTTATCTCTCCCAATACTTTTGTTAACGAAAAGTGAGTTTCACTTTTCCGACCTTATTAAATGTGAACATAAAAAGGCCGATGACTTGACCTACACGATCCCTTCATTTTCTCAGATTGATAGGCAGGTCTTTAGATACAGTTCTTTTCTTTGCAGGTGTGCCTTTCTGAGTCAGAAGCTGCAATGGAAGGAGAGAAAGAAGCCAAAGCAATAATGGAAAAGTTGTGTATCACTGAAGACGATTTGCTAGAAGGCGCCTACATGGATATGTTGAAAGAAAATTCATAAACGGAGTGGTCGTATTCTTTTTTTTACTGATGAAGAGTAATGGCTGACTGTTAATAGGTGGTTCACATGTACACTTTGATAAATCGTTTGTTTTGTTTTATAGCAAAGTAGTGGGTGGAGCAGGAATTACTACACTCTCGATAGCATGGTCTATAAAAATTAGGGTTGTTCTGAAGTATTTGGTTGCAATCACTAGGCGAGCGTATCGCTTCGAAACTGATCGTCTGATTTTTTGCCATACGCTGTGCAATTAACGAGTTATGCGAAGCGGTTGCGCCTAATCTTGTTCTACTCTCTCCTTACCCATTTCGCCCCATACCACATTTATGCAACAGTGTTTTTTCCTATCATACGCATACAGTGGAGGAAGTGGACTGGACCATAGGGACGTTACAATACGAACTGAAAACTTCACTGCACGTTTTTAAAAAATTGCTCATGTTAGCAAAGCCTTTATCTGTTGCTCCAGCCCCAAAGCTTTCTTCAAACTAATGAACTGTTTAAGATTATGTCGTCGTAGATGCTATAACTACCCAATTTCGTTCTTTACTCATTAGAGTTGGCGATTGATTGTTTTCATTTCATTGTATTTTTTTCAGAGTACTACGGATAACTCCCAAGCCATTGTATATGTATGTATGTATGTATGTATGTATGTATGTATGTATGTATGTATGTATGTATGTATGTATGTATGTATATATAT